TGCTTCCTCACGTCCGAGTCTGCCGTGTTCTTCGACCTGCGGGGAGGCGGCTCCAGCCCGTGAATACCCTGGACGACAGGGACCACCGCCCCGTCTTCATGGAATGCAGCTACCGCTTCGAGGCCAGTTCTACCCAGAGGCAGTGCTGGGACTTCGATACCATGTCGCGCATCCTGCGCGGCGGGGAGGAGTGCACCTCTGCGGTGGAACGGGTCCACGAAGCCATCCTGACCATCCCTGAAGATGAATGGGTACGGCTTTGCTCACGGCCTACGACAGACGAGCTGTGGAACTCTATTTCGGTGCTGCTCAGGGAGGCGGCGCTGACGGAGTTTTTACGCCCTTCACCTTCGGCGGCTGAGAAGTCGGTTCTGGAGAGGCTGCGTTCGGAGATCCTGGCACGTCGCCGACGGTTGCGTGAACTTCATATTGGTCGAGACTCGGAGGCACGCGCGGACGTCGAACTGGAACTGGCGAGGATCACGTTCAGGCTCAGGCAGCTGTCACGCCAGATCACCAAGGAACGCAACTCCCTGCTGGTCGGTGAGCTCAACTCCGCCTGGAGGGAGCACGACCACTTCGCCGTGCAGACTCTGCTTCGGCGACTGGCCCGCAGGGGCAGAGGGCCCCGACATCGGAAGTACTTCAAGGCACGAGAGGAGAACTGCGAACCACAGGACATCGCCGACTTCTTACGCTTGCCCGCTCAGCAGGGCGGACTCTCGGCGGTGGACTGCGACCTACAGGCGGAGCTGACGGAGCGCTTCGACCGCACCTACGAGGGGGACGAGGCTCACCGCACGGACCAGCAGCGCTACGACACGATGAAGATGGCAGATTTAGAGACGGCAGATCAGGACCTTTCGGGCGTCATCAGGGCGCTCCGCAGGGCACCGAAGAGACGAGCTACACCCGCGTGGAGTATGCCGTCGGAGCTCTGGCTGATCCTGATCGACCCCGACCAGTGGCACAAGTTCAAACGTGGTGGAGTGGGTTCGTGCCCTACCCCTGCGACGGCACAGGCCTTCAGGGAAAGAATGCTCGACATCATCGGATCCTTTCGGCGGGCTTCCTCCACCCCACTGGTCTTCGACATCTCTCACATCGTGGGCCTGGACAAGGGCAATGGCAAGCCAGGACCGCTCGGACAACGTTGGATACATCTCTTCTGCCCGATGGGCAAGGCGTGGAACGCCCATCTTTGGAATCGGGCTCGTCGCCACCGTGACCCACTTCCGTATTTTTGTCACGGCTTTGCTCGCCGCCGCCGGCGTGAAGACGCCATCGCGGTGCAGGACTGCTTGAGCTGGAGGCTCCAGAAGTTATCGCTATCACACGCCATCATCAATGAAGATGCCACGAACGCTTTCGCCAGTACGACACGAGAGACGATCTTGAATTGCCTCGAGTCCCTCTACCTCCCCGAGGACGTTAGGTTCCAGCACTCTCGCACGATGCAGACGGCGATGCAGATCATGGGACCCGACAGGCCCATCTCCCTCAGGCCTACCTCTGGAGAGCTCATGGGACACCCTAATCCTGCCAGAGGCTTCCCTTATTTCTATCTTCAGGGCCTGGAGGCTTTTCTGAGCTGGAGGGCGGGGACGAGCTCGTACACGTATTCACAGGCGGAGGAGGTGGACGGCACACGCACGGACACGGGCATCACACTGTACGCCGACGATATCACGAAGACGGTGATCCCAGGAAGAGGACCTGAACCCTTTGGAGGAGGAGGAGAGGCACGTCACCTTACCGCACTGGCACAGGTTAGCAGCAGTAAGTTAGCATCCTCCCTGGACGGCATCGGCGTGGGGCTCAACGAGGGCAAGCGAGTCACACTTGCTAGGCTTTTTGGGAAAGGCTGCATCGCCCAACGCCGCCTCCTGCATGCAGGCACTCTGCGTCTCTCTGGGCAGTTTGGCAGATTTATGCGCATCCTCGGCGGTTGGCTGACGGTGCAGGGATCGTTGCAGATTGAGAAAGGAAAAAGATTCCAGGCTGGACGGACTGGCCTCGGCATCATCTCTAACTTTCTTGTCCACGAGGCTGCCCGCGGCATCAAGCGCATGGCCATCCTTTCGTACGTGCAAGGTGCTCTCTTGTCGGGGATGGAGGGGAGGGTCCCAGATAAAAGTTTCACGGTCGAGGGTGACAAGATCATGATGAGGGCGATGCGTAGGGGTCTCGGGGTCAAGGGCACTGAGGACCACGACGGGGTGCGCTGGAAGTGGAGCTCTCACAGGGTATGGGCCTACTGGCAGATCCTTCCCTTGGCAGACGAACTGCGACTTCGGAGGCTACGCTGGTATCAGTCCTGGATTAAATACCCTAGCGCCCACAGGCAGGTTCGGGCATGCATACTAGGCACGATCAATGACATACCTAGCATGAACGACGACTGGACCATCCACGAAAAGGCTAACCCCTGGGCCCGTCAGGTACTTGAGGACCTCCAGTTTGCCAGAAGCCAGTCTGAGGAGTTCGCTGATTTAGTTCCAGAAGATTTTCCTCTCTTGGGTCTATTTTACACTAAGGAGTTCGACGACTGGGCCACGATTGACCTCACAGTTATCAGGGCCACCTATTTTTCTAAAGCGATCGCACCACCTAGTGGGCCCTCGGTGGCCCCGAGTATCGTGATGGAGGAGGAGGTGGAGGAGGTGGTGGACGCCCCTGGCGAGTTCGTCTGCATTCTGAAGAACTCAGAGGGGCAGCGGTGTGGTGACACCTTCACCAGCATGAAAGCTCTTTTATTACATGCAGGCAGAGTTCACAAAGTTCGAAACGAGGCAGCACTTCTCACGGTCACGAACCAGTGTTTCAGGTGCCTCCAGGTTCTCAGCACTCGGGAGAATGCTCAGCGACATGTTATGAGGTCTTATGCCCACAATCGCTGCGCTCTTGGACGCAGTAGCTACACGGCGGCAGAAGTTGTTCAACCTTTTTCACTCGAATGCCCCGTATGCAGCTTCACGGCTCAAGATCTCCGACAACTGCAGGTACACATACGCACACACTGTGCCCTGGGTGCTCCTACTCTCCCTCGGCCTCGGCTTCGACCGCGGCATGTCGCAACCAGACGCGGAGTCCATGGACCTGGAGCTGCTGATCAAGAAGCACAAGCGCAAGGCAGGCGACGGCGAGGACCTCGGAGGAGCACCCTCGGGGAAAAAAAAGGCCAACCTCGGGGACGCAGCAGACGATGCAGAAGACGGTCTTCAGCAGGTCGAGGGGGCCCTTCGGGCTCGAGACATGCAGCAGGCCATATCGATTTTGCTCAAGATGGCGTGCATGCACGCGCAGCTGCTGAGGGACCTGGCGGCGTCGGAGTGGGTGTGCCTGGTCGTCCCGTCGCTGAGCTTCCTGGTGGTCGCAGGGCGAGGAGCAGGCAAGATGTACGCGGAGGCGGCAGCCATCGCGGCAGCGAAGCCCCACCTGGGGCCACCACATTTGTACATAGCGCGCGGCGTGTTCAAGTCGATGGTCGATTCAGAGAAGCTGCAGAAGCTGGGGACTCAGGCGTACCAAACCCTGGTCCTTTTTTACGAGAAGTTCGTGTCGATCAGCTCGGCCGCGGAGCTAGGATTAGTGATCAGGCACTTCCGTTTGAAGAAGTGCTACAACGAGGAGTACACACGTCTGCAGTTCGCGATCGGCGGGGACATCACGGTGCAGCTGGCGGACGCTCAAGGGGGTCCGCCCGAGCGTCATCTGAGCAAGCTGGAGGTGGAGCAGTCGATCATCAAGCTAGCCCAGCTGGAGGACGCGAAGCTCAAGCTCGGGACCGCCCCTCAGGGGCACTTGGAGACCATGGCGCAGCGCATCCTCGACAAGACGAAGCAAAAGAGCAAGGGCAAGGGCGCGAAGTAAGTCAGCCAGATTCGGGCCCCGCCCCGTGGGAGGCTCGTCGGGCTGCCCTCTTTGCCCGCATCAGAGCACGGGAACTCTCGCAGAATGACATTGTATGACGGACGTGGACAGCACCTCCATATTCTGAGTTCACGAACTATCTTTCCGAAGGAGCGTTGTGTACCGGAGGATTTGAGGTTGGTGGACTCCCGCCGACTCGTCTTTGAGACGGAACCCCTCGTCTTACTTGACTGCTCACAGCTGGCTCAGATGGACACTTACTTTTTACAGATACTTGACATTACACACTCAGACGGGCTGGTCCATACGTCCTCCTCGCACCCACGTACCTGATGCCGCCGCCCGACTTCGGCTTCTGCGCGCCCTCTCTCGTTCTTTGATGATGTTATGTGGTGTATTCGCGGCTTTGTGTGCACGCCCGCGCTGACCACCACCGAGTACCTGACTGCCACGTGACCTCGATGCCCGAGGCCCCGTTCCTCTAGGCCGCGCCGAGCGGGGGGCGCGGTGCGAGTGGGGACTGCCCGGCGGTGCGCCGTTAGTGACCCTCGCACCGTTGCTCCCCGTCGGCACTGTCCTCACTGTCTTCTCGGAGTGGCCATCTTCCAGAATTCGGGGACCCACACTCCCCTCCGCTGCTTCCTCTGCTCTTCTCCTGCTTTGGCCTCGCCCTCTCGCCTCGTCGCCCTCTCTCCCGCGTCGTTCCCCTTTCGTCCGTCGCTTGCTGGAGTGTGGGTCCCTCCTCGGGGCGGGGCGGGTGCCTCGGAGGCCTGCCCGTCGCCCGCAGCGACGTGGGCTCGGCACTGGGAGGCCAGTGGGGTGTCCCCCCCAGCCCTCGAGGGGTCTCACGATTTGCGACTGCCTGGGTACGAGCACGTACGACAGGCTGCACGGCGCGCGCTACTCACGACCTCATCGCTCTCGATCGATGATCGTTCGAGGTAGGGCTCTGATTGCACGGGTTCACGCGCGGTCAGGGATCGGCACAGACCACGCGCAAGGCCGAGTCTTCTTCTTCTTCTTCCTCCTCCTCCTCCTCCTCCTCCTCCTCCTCCTCCTCCTCCTCCTCCTCCTCCTCCTCCGCCTCCTCCTCCTCCTCCTCCTCCTCACAAAGCACAAAGAGCGTCCTCCTCGGATATGCTGCCGAGGGTGCCCTTGCGTGCCGCAAGCTGCCGTTCCACAATCTTGTGCGCCGTGACCTGGCGCTGGAGGGGGGCGGAGGAGGGGGAGATGTCAAGCTAGGTGCGCTCGCGTCATATCTGACGTCCTACCCCTCCCTCCCATCCCTTACCATGGCGCTGATTTCCTCTATCCGCGGACGCGTGTCGTAGCGGACTTGTGGCTCCGCGCGCGCGTGCGTAGTGAGTGGTGGTGCGCGTGCGTGCGTGCGTGCGTCCGTGCGTGTGTGGTTGTGGTGGTGGTGGTGGTGGTGGTGGTGGTGGTGGTGGTGGTGGTGGTGGTGGTGGTGGTGGTGGTGGTGGTGGTGGTGGTGGTGGTGGTGGCGGTGGTGGAAGGGAGGGCGGGAGGGGCGATCCCTCCGATAGACGCAGGAGGAGGGGAGGGGGGAGCAGGGGAAGGAGCGGAGGCGGGCATGGGACGGAGAGAGGGGGGGGTGAAGAGGAAGGGGGGGAGGAAGGAGAGGAGGGGGAGGAGGATCGAAGGGAGGAGGAGCGGCGTGGCCTCCCCCTCCGCCTGCACGCAGCACTGGCGGCATGCCCCTTGACTCGTGTTCGACGTCCTGCCCCCGTGCGGGCAACATGGAGAGGATGATGATGGTTACTACGATCGGTCGATGATGCGAGAAGGGCTAGCCATTACCCCTCCTTAGCCAGCAGAGCTGCATGCCAGAGAGTATCACGCATATGAAGCCTGGCAATGACTCTGCAGCGAAGGCGCAGGGCATCATTTCATGGACACGTCTTCTCCTCCCTCCTCATCAGTTCCTTCTCCTTCCCACGTCCTGATTCCCCTCACTCTCCCACTTACATGTTCACAAGAACCACGCGCGCTTCGCGTGCGCCGAGGTTCTAGCAAGCTCTGGCTGTAGCAGCCGAAAAAGTTCGACATCGGATAGCATGTAGTGAGCACTGCGTTCTTGCAAACTCTTCCCACGGGCATCTTCGGGACTTGTTGGGCCGCCTGAAGGCCATCCTGGATCATCTTGGGGCCTTCTTGGGACACCTCGGGGGCACCGTTGGCCTTCTTACGCTTGCCGTGGTCCGTGCTGAAGCGTCATGCGGCGTGTTCTCATCCTGTTCGGGCGATCCATCGGCACCCCTACCTCCCAGGAGGCCGTGCGCTGCCTTTCAAAGCCCCAAGATGGCTTGAGGACGACCCACGGAGGCCCCTCGACGCTCCAAGAGGGTCCCAAGACGGCCCGAGAGGTTCAGCTAACGCCCACAGAGCCCCCCAAGAGGCCCCCAAGAGGGCCCCAAGAGGCCCCTAAGATAACCCGAGGTCCCCCAGATGCCATCCCGTGTTCCCCAAATGACTTTTACAACGGCTGGGGGAACTCGCAATATGAACGCTTGCCCAGACTCTCCCCAACGGTTAGACACATGGGCGTTTCCCCAGATGCCAAGGACGGCGGTGACTTGCCGTAGGCGTCTTCGATCCGTCGCCTGTATTGCTTGCAAGAGAGGTGCGTGGCCTGCAAGATACGGCTGGCCTTTCTGAAAGATTACTTGTGACCTTCGGCCCTTCCGCCGCCACCGCACACAGAACCCAACGTCAAGACAACTTGCACCCAAGCCAGCAATCCTGGCCCAAGATAATCCTCAAGGCGGGCCCAGACGGCCCAAGACTGTCACAGGTAGCCTCCAAGATGGCACGAGGGTCCCAAGATGCATCCAAATTCGCCCCATCTGCCTCCAAGACGGTCATGACGGCCTGCAAGGGGCCCGAGACTTTCCAGGACAGTCTGAAGAAGCCACATCGGCCTGGAGGGGATGAATCCCCCATATCCTAAGATGGGGTTATTGTTATTTCTTGGACGCCGCCGACTTCTCCTCCTTCTCCTTCTCCTCCCCTCTCCTCCTCATACCCAGACTTACTCATACACAGATTGACTCACACTAAGACTTACTCATACCCAGACTTACTCACACACAAACTTACTCATACTCAGACCTACTCATACTCAGACCTACTCCTACTCAGACTTACTCATGATGAGACTCACGCACGCCTCGTTCGCGGCCGTGCTGTGGAGATGCCTCAAGCGGGTTGCCTGTTTTCTGTCCCAACATCCTTCGCTGTCGGAGCAGATTTGGAGGATGTCTCGAGCGAGGCGCTCATTTTCACGTCCCTAAGGGGGGCCGCCGAAGGGTATTGCACGGTCCCGTTCGCGGCCGTTTTGTGGGGATGTCTCAAGCGGTTCGTCTGTTTTCTGTCCCAACATCCTTCGCTGTCGGAGCAGATTTGGAGGATGTCTCGAGCGAGGCGCTCATTTTCACGTCCCTAAGGGGGGCCGCCGAGGGGTATTGCACGGTCCCGTTCGCGGCCGTTGTGTGGGGATGTCTCAAGCGGTTCGTCTGTTTTCTGTCCCACCATCCTTCGCTTTCGGAGCAGATTTGGAGGATGTCTCGAGCGAGGCGCTCATTGTCACGTCCCCAAGGTGAGCCGCCGAGGGGTATTGCACGGTCCCGTTCGCGGCCGTTTTGTTGGGATGTCTCAAGCGGTTTGCCTGTTGTCTGTCCCAACATCATTCGCTGACGGAGCAGATGTGGAGGATGTTTCGAGCGAGGCGCTCATTGTCACGCCCCCAAGGTGAGCCGCCGAGGGGTATTGCACGGTCCCGTTCGCGGCCGTTTTGTGGGGATGCCTCAAGCGATTTGCGTGGTTTCTGGCCCACCATCATTCGCTTTCGGAGCAGATTTGGAGGATGTCTTGAGCGAGGCGCTCATTTTCACGTCCCTAAGGGGAACCGCCGAGGGGTATTGCACGGTTCAGTTCGCGGCCGTTTTGTGGGGATGTCTCAAGCGGTTTGCCTGGTTGCTGTCCCAACATCATTCGCTGTCGGAGCAGATTTGGAGGATGTCTCGAGCGAGGCGCTCATTTTCTCCCCGCAGGTGGGCCAGATTTTGAGGATGTCTCGATCGGTTTGCCAGTTTTGGTGGCCAAGCTCGTGGGCGCAGATTCTTCCCAGGATGCCACACGAGGTTCCAACAGGCTCCAGGAGGCCCCAGGCGACCACATGAGGTCCCAGGAGGCATCAGGAGGCCACAGAAAGACTCAAGAGGCCACAGGATGTCCCAAGAGGCTCCAGGAGGCCCCAGGGAGCTCCAGAAGGCCTCAGGAAGCCACAGGAGGCCCCAGGAGGCCACAGGCAGCGCCAGGAGGCCTCGGAAAGCAACAGGAGGTCCCGAGAGGCCCCAGGAACAGGAGGCCTCAGAAGGCAACAGGAGTGGCTCCAATCCCATGTGTTTTACGTATGCTCCTATCGATTGTGCCTCACCTGGAGCACGATTCCTTGATGTACACGTATGTTATATATATATATTGTCCTTTTCCTGTGTACACAATCCTACATGTTTAACTTATGTTCCTATATATTGGGCCTCTCCTGGGGCACGAGTCCTTAGTGTTTTACGTGTGTTCCTATATATTGCCCTTCTCCTGTGGCTCTAATCCGCAATATTTCATGTACGTCTGTTGCTATATATTGGGCCTCTCCTGGGGCACGAAACCTCCCTAAGAGGTCCCAGGAGGCCCCAAGAGGCTCCTGGAGACCCCAGGAAGCCCCAGTAGGTTTCAGGAGGCCCCAGGAGGCCCCAGGCTCATGCGCAGAGACGCGCTCGTACTACTGAGGCTCATTCACACTCCAATTCATTCGCAGTTGGATTCATGACCAGATCGTCGCAAATGAAGCCCGTTTATATTCGAAAGCTCTTGCGCCTAGACATTCACGGCGGACAGGTCCATCCGAATAGATGCACATATGGGGAGCTCCACACAGTGAATAATTGTTCTAACCGTTTGATTGGTTTCCATTTTCTTACACTGTCGGATCGTGGCCCGCAAGGAGGTCCACGGACGGCCACACAAACAATGTCCGCATCCCGCCCCCCCGCCTACTCGGGCACACGTCTCACCACATGTGCACCGTGGCCCCCTCAAGAATCTCCACCTTCGGCCCCAAAGGCAGGAATCGCACTGCACACCCCTCGCCCATTGCGGCACACCCCATCACGCAACTAGATCGTGGCATCGCGCGGGGGCATCCGAATTACCAGAACTGCCGTTCTGGCGGGGTAGACGTGGCTCCAGAGCAGGCACGACACTTGGGCCACCCGAATGGGAGCCACCGGGCGATATACCGGCCTCCCGGGGCCCCCTAGGAGTCCCTCGTGCAGCCCTCTTGGGACACCAAACTCATACATTGTTACGCACGCGTATGCTTGTCTCTCGGGGCCCTCCGGAGCCGCCTTGGCGGCGGTCGGGAGTCGATCGAGGGAATATGCCTGGGTTCTGGGACAGGGGCCTCATACGCGCATCTCGGGGTCTCTTTGGTAGTCTCTCGGAGCCCGAGTGGGTGCCTCTGGAGGGTCTCCTGGGGGCTTCCTGGGGGCTTTGGGTTCTCTTGGGGGCTAGTTTGGCCACTCTTTTGGGCCTCCCGGTGGCCTCTTGGGGCTTGTCGGGGGCCTGTCGGGGGCCTCGAGGGCTAACTTTGGGCGGAGGGCTCGAATGGTAGCTCGGGTTCCCCCTCTTGGGCCCATCCTGGCGCTCTCGTTTTTTTTTTTCTCCTCGGTATGTTGGACCGCGACCGCCCTCCTGTCCGCGTATCTCGGCGCGTGGCGATGAACTGGGCAACAAAAATATCCGCAGTCTGGTGGCTTCTGAGCCCCTAGAACTCATCGTCGTCCTCCACATAAATGTCCTCATCCTCGCCGAAAGCACGGCGGCCATATTCTGGAGCCGTCAGCGGCTGCACTCCGAGGAGCCCGAAGATCTCGTTGAGGTACAGGCGCCCGGGCACCGCCGAGGGGTGGTACCCGTCCGGCTTCCAGAGGCCATCGAGGCTGTCCTTGGCCGTACTCGAGATGAGAGTATCCATGATCTCGTGGTAGTCGATCACCCCGACGTCCTCGAAGACCTTGCCCGTGCCTGCCGATCTGCGCTTGACGCAGTCGTGCAGCGCATCGAAGTCCGCCTGCGTCCACCTCTCGTTGTTCCACAGGGCGACCGTCGGCGCGGTCCGGAAGACGACTCGGCTCTGCCTGAAGGTGTCGGTCACGTTCTTGAGCAGGTACGGCAGATCGTGGTCGCACCACTGCTGCAAGCGCTCGGGCGTGGCTCGATGGCCCGATTGCTGCCACCAAGTGGCCAAATCCCACAACGAAGACTCGACCACGACCAGGTCTGGCGCTTGCCCGAAAGCGGTGCGAGCAAGTTCGGGTGCTCTCTGGATGACCTTATATACGTGGGCTGATACTGCCAGCCCGCCTCCTGCGTGGTCTCCCATGCGGTCCCTGTGGGCTTCCTTGTGTCGGTTTTCACTGTGTGGTGGCCTAGGCCAGGGTTCCAGAACGGCTCCTCCAGGTCCCCTTTGACGCCCACGCCCGGATGCTGAAGGACCGCCACACCAGTGTTGCGTTCGCTGTCGAAGACGACGTTGTGCTGCAACTTGAAGGACTTGAACGTGAAGGTCTGATGCGGGTAATTCATGCCCACGGCGTACCTATCGACGGAACACCCAATGATGAGCACGGACTGGAACTTCCTCTTTTCTTTGTCGATACTATTTGTCAGAGGTTCTGGAACAGGTGTCTGACTTAAGGAAGTTGCAACATGGATCAGCGAAACAAAACAACATGTAATCAAATAATTCAGAAATGCCGCCATTGGGCGGTACGCACAAGGTACGTGGTTCGAGTTGGAATGTCTCGCTCGAGCGACACACGAGCAGAAATGTTTGCGCCAAAATGATGATGGGGCCCATCTTGGCGCCCTCTTGGGCCGTCGTCGGGGCTTCTTGATCTTTCTTGGAACTCCCTTTGGGACCTCTTGGGCGGTCCGTTGGGGTCGCCTTGGACCGTGTTGAAACAAGAAAACCGAATGTGGTACAAATGTTGGTTTGCCAAAGTGAATCGGGCGGTGTTTGCTTCTCGGGGCCCTCTGGAGGTTCTTCCTGGAGCGGTCTGGAAGCGTCGTGGACATCTCTTAGGCCGTCTGAAGCTCATCTTGGGCCGTCGGAGACCCCTGGGGAGGGCGTCGTGGGGTTGACTCAAGGCCGTCTTGGGCCGCCATGACGGCTGTCCGGTGGCTTGATTTTGGGCCCCCGAGAGCGCGCCTGGCACCCGGCACAAACATTTGCGGTCGCGGGGCCGCGGCCCCGGGCCCCCCGGGCCTGGTCCCCGGTTTGCATGCACACATATACCGAACCCTCCTTTTGATCGACAGGTATGATGTCGAACAGCCTTGAATACATGGTTCCCCGGAGTGCCACTCGCACCCACAGTGCAAGAGTTGAGCTTTGACCAGGCCGCCCACCTGTCAGCATGAGCACACTGCTCGATAAACATTGAAAGCTGAAAACCGCAGTCGGGACTCAACACCTCTGCCCAGTTGAAGACTCAGCACCTGCTCCATGGGCGGTCCGGCAGTTGGACTGCCCGTGTAGGAAATAGGAAGGTGACGTGCTAGCGACATGCTTCTGGACTCGAGCCCCCGATCGTGTGTGCAGATCCGACTTGTTGAGGGCCACCAATGAGCATGAGCATCGCTCTGGCAGCTGTGAATGAGTTGCGGACATTACATTACTCGGTGACTCGGCTGAACAAGACAGAACAGAACGAAGAGGAGGTGGAGGAGGAGGCGAGGGGAGTGGACCAGCTGGCCCGCTTTGTGCGATGTGGGCCCGCCAAAGCCGATGAGCTGATACAGCGTGTCGAAGATCTGGGCGCCGCATCGCACGTCACGTGTCGCAGGCACTCTCTACATGCGTATTCCTACTTTGCTTTCTCCACAGCATATGCTGCGTCCTCTTTCCCTTCAGCATCCTCTGGATTACCCTCCTTCTCCGCCGTTCCCCGCTTCTGGAAGTCCCTCTTGTGCTGAGCCCTCGGACATAAGGGAGGAGAACACGAAAGGGGGAAAGAAGAGGAGTCGAAAAAGGAAGTGGGTGCTCGAGACGGACAATTATGCGGAGGACAAGGAGAAGAAGAGGATACGAAAGGTCACGACGACCAGGAAAAGGACATATTGATGAGAAGGAGGGGAGTTGAGGTACGAAGACAATGAGGAGATGATAGGGATTATGAGGTGAATGCGGGTGGAAAGTGAAAGAAGGGGCAGCAGCATCAGCAAAACAGGTCCAGAGGCGCGGTTCGACCGATACGCTGCGCATGCGCCGCCGACTCTGGAGGCGACCTCCCGCATTTGCTTCCGCTGGCCCCCGCGTCACCGTCGTTCCCGTCCTCAATATTTCTAGCCGTCGTCGCAGTCCTCCTCCACTGCATCCTTTGCAACATCATCTTGCTCCTGACCACGATACTCGTAATCCTCACTTTCTTTTTGCCCCTCCGTGCAATTCTTCCTCAAATTCTCCACGTCCTGGTGGTACTCCTTCTTCGGCACATGCTGGTCGTCCTCCTCGCCCACTTCTGCCTACTTCTGCGCCTGCTGCTCCGGTTCCTCCTCCTCCTCCGCCTCTCCCCGTGCCTTATCGCCAATAGTTTCCCGATCGTCTGCAATCCAACTTGGTGGCCTCCCGACGGATGGATGAAGCCTCGGTCGGTGCTCGTCCTGGAATGCCTTCTGGCTTTCCATTGCTGAACATCGGGGTAAACTTTCGAACTGGTTGTATTCTTCTCCGGCTCTGGCTCTCGTGCTTCCTCTCGCACGTAGAGCTTCTGCTCCTGATCTTGGTGCTCCTGGGCGTACCGTACCAGTTGCCCAGGGCATGTTCTTCTCTTTCTCGCCCTCCTCATAGGAGCAAGGAAGGGCGACACCAACACTGGCAGGGCGAGGAGATGCGAGGAGCAAGGGGGGTCTCCCCCTGGTGGCATGCCCCCCCCCCGTCGCTCGAGACATCCCCAGCCTCCAGCTCGGGGAGGCATCGTGGACCTCCTCGCTGGAGGTGGCCCCCTGGTCGTGCTGGTGTCGGGAGGCCTCCTAGATGGGGTCGGAGGAGATGGGGTTGGAGGATCGCGCCGCATCGCCGATTCAGCGGCGAGGCATCGGCGATTCGCCGGCGACGCATCGTCGTCGTCGGCGATGTATCGGCGACGTCAACGTGAAGCAAATCGGGCTCCATATCGAGCCGTATCGGCGATACATCGGGGATGCGATCCTCCGACCCCATCTACCTATAAGAGTCCTCCTCCTCCTCCTCCTCCTGCTCCTCCTCCCTCCTCCTCCTCCTCCTCCTCCTCCTCCTCCTCCTTCATCCTCCTCCTCCTCCTGCCTCCTCCTCCTCCTCCTCCTTCCTCCTCCTTCCTCCTCCTCCTTCCTCCTCCTTCCTCCTCCTCCTCCTCCTTCTTCGCATCTCCCCCCCCCTCCGGTCCTCGTTCGCCCCGCCCCCGCGGGGCGGGGCCTCGATGTTGAAAAAATGCTGGGGGGGGGCCTGTTTCCCCGCTGTTGATATCTACGTGCTTTTGTCATGGTTCGGGGGTCCGCTGTTTGTTCCGTTCGAAGATTCTCGTTCGCGCCGATGTCCGCTCGGTTCCGTCTTGTGCAGCCGCGCTTGTTTATGTTTGGCCGCCGTTGGCTCGTCCGTTCTGGCCGACGAGTCCAACCATGTGGGGGATGCCATCCCCCCGAGCGTGCTTTACGATGGGCCTGTTTTCCACCACCACCACCCTCCTACAAGACAAGAGGGGGAAAGTCCTCGAGGGCGTCCGTCTTCACGTGGATAGCCTGTGCGACCGCTCGCTGAAACTGCTGGTCGAAATTGCGCCGCGCGGGCTTGCGCTGGAGAGTCCCGTCTTGGAGCGTGGACTCCACGAGCCGGTGCAAACCAATCGCCCCAGGCCTGGCTAAGTTCACCCTCAGTAGACGCTGCCCACCACATCTTGCACGAGCTTGCGCCGCTCCCGTTGTACCTGCTCTAGCGTCTCAGACACCAAGCTCAATGAGGGCTTCGCCCCCGCCCGCAGCGCGCGCCCGGACACACGCGTTTCTACTAACTTGGATGCCGAGGATTGGAAGGAAGAGCATCTCGCGCTCGTGGGCATACTGACTGAACCACCCCACATCCGCTCCGCGGTCCACCACCCCCACGCTCATGTGAAAATGTGTGGATGCTTGGCCCTGCGAGTAGTGCGCCGCCTGCTCCTTCGACGGTTGTCGAGAAGAACCCGAAACCGACACTGCCGTGGATGCCTGTCGGATTCGGTTTCCAGAAGGAAACGGGCAACCGCGCCCTCGTGGACCCCCTCCACATATCACGCACCTTGGTCAGCTTCGACACTTGAATGACGCAGCTGTTAATGCAATGGGTAATGGTAGTGGATGTGTTCCTCTTGCAGAGGTCGGCGAACTTACTCTTCAAGAAAGGGCACCCGCTCGCCGCTCGCAAAAAGGAATTATACTTCTCGGGCAGAGGACCCGCGCAAAGCCCGCCAGCGATCTCCTCGACCTCCAACATATCAGTGCCCGCGCCGGCGCCTTGCAGCTCGGCGTTCTTTGCCTGCGCTTTTTCCGCAAAAGCGCCCAGACACTTCGCCTCGCAGCACTTGTCGGTGCGAGTCTCTTTAAAGCCGTCGCGTTCTGGAAACTCATCGTCGTTCATCGGGTCAACCACGAAATGCCGCCACGCGGGACCTGCCGGTCAGGCCGTTGGACGACGTGAACGGTTCTTTGGAATCGTCCACGTTGCAATGTTCGCACTCCATGGACGTCTTAATGGAGCCGCGTACCATCCTAGCCCAGGGGGCCCAAACAGCTGGGTCAGGCCTCCGTAGAACAGCTCGGCCCCAATGGCCGCCTCCTGCTGCGCCGCGGTCTTGAGCCCGTCCAGAACGGTCTTGGTCAAGCCCTCCAACCCAGGATCGCGCAATAGCTCGCGGACCCGATCGTCGTCTTTGGCTAGCGCCTGCGCGCGCTCAAGTCGCTGGCGCCCGTTGGGGCCTTCAGCGCGCAGGCGAACGGGAGGTCCCCGGGCGGCCTTGCTCGGGGCGGCCTCTGCGGCGGCAGCCTGCTCTGCGATCGCCCCAACCTTCGCCTCCGCCTCGGCCTTGGCCTTGACCCCCGCCTCTGCAACCTCTTCGGCCTCCGCCGCTGCCTTCGCATACGTGTCCGCCTTGGCTCTAGCCTCTGCCTCCGCCGCAGCCTTCGCCTCCGCCTCCGCCCTGGCTTCGACCTCCGCCTCCGCCTTGGCGGCCTGCTCAACGTCCGCCTCCTTTGCCCCGACGACGCCCTCGTCCGTCCAGACCGCCCCGGCCTGCGGCGCCCGCCCGTTCGGGCAACGCCGCAGCGGCCCCCGCGGAGTCGACGCCGGTGGCCTCGAGCGCGGCCGTCAGAATGCCGGCGTCGACTTCGCTGTCTCTGTCTTCGTCCCCATGCCGCTCCTCGCGCGCCTCGACGCGCGCGCGGCGGCGTTGGGGCGCTGCGCCGGCCACGGTGGGCGCCGGGCTCCCCAGAGGCCCAGGCAGGAAGAAGCACCCGCCAGGGGCGCCCCTGGCCCGGGGGGCGGGCGCGCCCATCCCGCCCTCCCCAGCGGGCAGGCCGGGGTCGAGCTCGAGCCTTCCCTCGCCTCGGCGCCGCAGGGGGCCCGATGGGGCCGGGCCCGCGGCGCGCGAGCTGCACGAGACGAGACGAGACGAGACGGGGCTCAGAAGGCGGTCGAGGTGAGGCCTGCTCGGCTCCAAAAGCGGGCGCCTCGGAGGACGAAGCGTCGGGCGCCCCCCTCGCCTGCGTCCTCTGCGCAGGTGGCGCGCGCCGAGCTCCGCCGCCGAGGGGCAGGTGGGCCTCCCCGAGGCCAGAAGCCCGCAGCGCGCTCGCCCTCGACCCAGCCCCAGGAGCCGCCCCAGGAGGGCCAGAGCAGGAGCCCGACCCCCGCGAGGCCGACGGGAGGCCCTCAGGGCCGACAGGACCAGGAAGGGCCATGCCCAGACGGCAGGCCCCTGGAGGCCTCCGAAGGGTCGCCACGGGCAAGCAACTCGGGAGTAAAAACTTGGGCTGGGCGGGCGCGGACTTCCGTCGGGACCCCGACAGGTGCTCCCAGCACAAGATCCCTGACACCAGCCTTGCACGATGGCAACGGTCTCGCGCGCAGACGTCGGAGCTGGGACTGCAGCCCAGCGCCCGCACTTTCACAAACAACAACGCTGCAGCAGGGCTCTCGAGGTCTGAAAGCCAGTGGAATAAGCCCCGCACCCGCAACCAAAACAGGCAGCTCGGTCATCTGCGCGCCCGTTACGCGCAGACACGCGAGCGAAAAGAAGCGGGCGGCCACTGAACCGATCGCCTGCGTCAGCAAACTCATCCCAGCCGTCGGCTGGGCGGCTCCTGAACGGAGCAGGGAGGATAGGCAGCGGCTGGCTGGCCGCGGCACGGGGGGGACTCCTCAGCCTCGCCTCGCGCCGCCCACAGCTCGCCAACATCGTCGTGATCCCGACCCACCTCCCCGCAACCGACCCACGCGTGCACCTGCCCCGTCCACTGCGCGGCCTCGCAGCAGATGGCCTCAAGGCCGCGCCACAGGTGCATGTGCTCAGCTCTGATGCCGCGCAGACTCCCATCCTTCTTGGCGAACTCATCTGCGGCGTCATTGCCGCGCTCCTCCCACAAAGTGGTCACATCACTGTGCACATCTGTCATGCTGCAATGGGCCTTGGTCCTGTGGGCCGCAAAATCATTGCTGGAAAACGCGGCACATGTGGGCCCTGGTGTTGTCAATCCCCGCTCCAGTCCCAAGACCCTTGATCAAATTCTGAACCGTGCCTTTACAGTCACAGTACATGTGAAACGGAGACGACGCTACCTGAGTCAACATGCGCACCGCGAAATCTTCCCCGTCCCTCGCCGTCTGGCGAGGTAAGAACTCTAGAGGGACTGGTCCGCAGGCTGCTGCTATGACCTGACCGTGGGGGTAACGCATCGCAACGGCCCAGCCCGCCCTAGCCAACTCAAGCACACTCACCCAGAGCCCCGACCCGTCCGTGAACAGCAAACCCGTCAGATATCCGCTGGCAGGGCGGCAGTACCAATGTATTGCCTGCTCAGGGGGCTGAGGGCTGAAAAAGGCCGAAGGGTTCGGGAAGATCCCTCTAGCGAGAATCTCCCCAAACTCGAACCCAACCGCAATGGCTCGACGAGCGTGGCTGCGCAGTCCTGGCGAGACCATGTCTCCTCGCCTGCTAGACAGCACATCGCACTCGTAGCACCCGTACCAGATCGAGCCATCTAGGCTGCCACATAGGAGTACAGGCAAGGCAATCGACTGGGCTACGTTCGTGCAGCAGGGCCAGGGGCCCGAAAGAAGCCGACCAAAGGGCACGCTGGTGCCTCTCAGCACAGACACTGGTCCTCCTGGAGCACGGGCGGCCGTGCGCGGCCCAGAAGAACAGGGAACACCCGAGGGGACGAGCTCGCTCCGGGCACGCTCCTGCCCGACGCGCGGCCCACATCCGCTGGCGAAGCCGCACCTGCCCAGGGCTGCGAGGAGGCCTCACGCCGCTGCCCGGCCGCCTCCAGCGCCCCGCTCGGGCTGCTGGGCTTGGGGCCCCCCTTCCCAGACCGCCGTGCAAGCTGCATGGTGCGCCCTGGGTGGGTATATGCATATCTGTACCTGCACGCATCAGAAAGAGGGGGCCGAACGGTCGTTCACTGTCTCTGGCTGCGTGGCTGAAATGGGATTCCGCGATGCGGATTCTTGTTGTTGTGTGTTGTGGTTTGGCGCCGCCCCCCCGCGACCCAACCGCGACCCACCCGCGAGCCGCCCGCGACCCACCTGCGACCCACCCGCGACCCACCCAGCGACCCACCCGCGACCCACCCAGCGACCCACCCGCGACCCACCCAGCGACCCACCCGCGACCCACCCGCGACCCACCCGCGACCCAACCGCGACCCACCTGCGACCCACCCCGCGACCCACCCGCGATCCACTCGCGACCCACCCGCGACCCACCCGCGACCCACCCCACCACCCACCCACATTGCTTTAACTTTAACGAAAAATCGGCGCCTGCGGCGGGCTCGTGGTGTAATTTGTAAAACTTAGACGCCTGCGACAGGCTTCTTCAGAGCCTGACAGGCTGCCGACGTCCCCGCCGCCCCCTCACTCTTATCCGCGACAGCGGGGTGCTACGTATATACACACATCGATGCAGTGAAAACTGTGGTACAGTCGGTGTGTTGCGAAGTATCTGGCGCGCAGTACTAGTCGGAATGATCTAGTAGTCGGGAGCGCTGGGAGAGCATACTAGAGACACTACGCAACCATACAGGAGACCACACAAGAAGCCACATGAGAGACCACACGGGGATCGAGCGGGAGACCATACGGGACACAAAAAAGGAGACCACACGCGGCAATGCAGGAGGGAGACCCGACTAGAGACCATACGCGGGACCACACGACGGACCGTGAGGGAAACCGGGAGGGAGATCACACGGGAGCCCATACGGAAGCTTCATGGGCCTCTTGCCTCTCACTGAGGGGGGCTCCCCGCAGTGAAAGGGGAATGCTTGTCGAGACTCATGACGACAGGGCTGAACCTAAACGTTGTTGTTCGTGTTGGTTTCGTTTTGCGCTTCGTTTTGCTTTCCCTGTTTCCCTGTACCTCCCTGCCAAAACGAGCAACAAAACACGGCCAAAGTCCAGCAGAACAGCGTTTAGGTCCAGCCCTACATGACGAAGCGGCTGAGAAAATTGAGCAGGGACCGATCGTCCCGGCGTTCCTATAGTCCTACCACGAAGCGTTCTTAGAACCCAATCATGTTCTAAGAACAAAAACAAGGTTCTCAGAACATAAGCCTCATGCGCTAAAACAAGACTGCTCCGGCCAGAACTGTCCTAAGAACATTCCGTGGAAACCGCAGCAGGCTCTTAGAACATTGTTTGGTTGGGCTCTAGGCGAGCGAAGGACGCTTCGCCACTGCTTGAACGGCCGGGAACTTTTTCAAGGGGCCCAAGGACACACAAATGAATACACACACATAAAATGTTTCCCCACATTTTCCCATGTTTTCTGGGCTTTTGTCTTCCCCCCCACTTCCCATATGTTCCCACATTTTCCTGGGAATCGACGACGAATTGTGTCTGTGGGTTTTCTTCCCTCCGGACTTTTGGATCGCGTGTCGCCCTGGCGGCCCCGGCAGCCCCGGCGACACGCCGTGCCCTGCGGGCGCATCGCCGGTCGCTCCGCTCCTCGCGGCGGGAGGCCGGGAGAGGCTCGGGACCGCGTGCCGCCCGAGGACCGCGGCGTGGATGAGCGTGCCGCTCGTAACCAGCCTCGGACGTATCCCTATCCCCAAGGTGGGCGAGCAAAACGCGAGGACGATCTCAGGGATGGGCCCTCAGAAACGGAGGGAATCCTTAAGATAGGCACCGAGGCGAGGCGATGTCAAGCATAGGGATAGGGGTATGTTTCAAACTGGTAAGCTCGGGAGCAGAGAAATAGTGGACGGGGTGTGGCACGAGTGCCGAAGAGCACGAGGCCGCCACATGGGCAACAGGGGGGCCATCTCCAATCTATCTGGGATCGTGTCTTTGGCAATGGATATTTTCAGGCATGGGGGCATAGGTGTGTTACCCACCGACAAAGATGGAGGTTACTGTTTGATTCCTAAGGCAACATTAGTCGCAGAGAGCCTGAATATTGTACAGACCACACGGTACCGAGAGGTCCGAAATCCCACAGATGCAGCAGATGAGTTTTTCGATGATTACGCTCTGGCTGTCAAGGAAGCTGGGAAGCAACTTGATGATCTCCGCCTTGTCCACGCGCTTCTATCCTGGGGCCGCGAAGGCAACCTTAAAATGATATCTCGTTTGAAATGCACGGTGAAAACGCACAAGCCTGCAGGAGAGGTCGAATTACGAGCCATACATGCTAGCACGGGCAGTCCACTGACCGGTGGCATGCGCTATGTGTCTTCTCTCCTCCGTCCATTTCTCGCAAGGCAACCCCACATTCTACGAGACAGCCAGGACTTGCTACATCAATTACGGGGTATTGCCGTTCTTGAGAACGACCGCTTCCTCAAGATAGATATCAAGGACTATTTCATGAGTGGGGAGCATCATCAGCTAATCCATCATTCTTCTCAGGCGATAGAGTGCCCTGCGTCGCGGCAAGCGTACAAAACCATCCTGGCCGCGATACTCCGTAATCAGCTCGTCTCCGTGGAGGGGGTAGCCGATAGATTATGGACAGTACAGTGGGGCACTGGTATGGGTCTGCTTTGCTCGGGGGACGTCAGCGACACAGCCTTCCATTATATGGTTGAGGAGAACTTCGCAACAGACGCTGGGGTGCAGCGACAATACGGCATCAAATTTTACGGAAGATTCAAGGATGATATCTTTATCATTTTGGACGGGGCCGCTCACGCTACGCAGTGGGGCGCCTTCGTAAGAGAGATGCGGATACGGAGCCAGTTCTTCAAGCTCAAAGTCGAAAGCTTGAGAGTGGAGTCGGCTGTCATGCTTGACGTGGAATTGAGGAAAGATGACGAATGGAGGCGCACAGGCAGA